CTCACCCTCAAGACACCTTCCTGAAAACTGGAGGGAAGGGCTTTCTTCCCCACTCAATGAATCAGCTCACGGTGGTGGCGATACAATGGGAAGTTGCTGAGTGATAACGGGATGAAGAGGCATAGAAGTCTGCATTCTCAGGTACAATACTGTGTGTGTGTGTGTGTGTGTGTGTGTGGGGGGGGGGAGGAGTGGTGTGGGGGCGGTTTCACAATAATTGGGAGGTGGAAGCAAACAGTCAGGACCCCACTTCAATACCCACCATCCAGTGACCCTCTGAGACAACCACCACTGCTAAGTGCATGGCTTGTGAGTACTTAGGCTTCCCAATGCCTTCCACAGTTGGAACGCCCTACCAGTACTAACATGTCAAGCTTCAAGCATGCAGAACACCATGTCAGTGAAGTAGAAGACTGGTGGAACCTTTCCACAGGAACAGTCACTGAGTTTGCAAAAGGGAGGTAGCTGGAGGGGAAGGCAGTTCATTTCTAAAGAGAAAAGAAAGCCACACTGGGTGGCGGGGGGGGAACAGTATTGAGTAATACTGTCTGCCGTTTCTCTAACTGTGTTTCAAAAGTCATATGAACAGGGCTCAAAAGAACATGCTGTCCAATCCACCAAGTAGCATCAAAGTCCATCATTAAGCATCTCTCAAGGCAAACAGCTCCACATTATAAATCATCTTATAATGTTTCATGTGGCTCTTCACCCATCCATTCTCTCCACTCTCCCCTGACGCTGAAGTAAGTTGATGAAAAGCAACCTTTTGAAATGTCTACTTCTGTGAAAAAAAATAAACAAAAAGGAGGGACATAAAACCAGGGAGAGAGATAGAGAGAAAAAGAATTAGAAAGAGACAGGATAAGGAGGGAGGGAAAAGATATAGTGGAAAGAAAGAGAAAACACTTAATCAGCAAAGGGAGGGAGAGAAACGCACAGCAGTACAGACAGAGACAGAGACATCAACAGGCACAAACACAGAGAATCAGAAAAACAAAGCCTGGTACAGAGACACAGACACAGACAGAGAAACACACAAAGTCAGGGAAAATGAGACAGACAGCTAGCGAGACAGAGCATTTTTTCTTTCCCATGTCCCCTTCAAAAAAAAAGTCTCCCTTTTCACCTTTTTTTGTCTCATCATATACATAGCAGGGCCGCTATATAAAAATAAACTTTTATGTTGGGAATTTGGGAATTCAAGTGAAGCTTACTCAACTGGCTACGTTCCACAGCACTGGCTGGTGGGACTGAGCTGCACAGCCATAATATAACCAAAGAGTTCCGGACATCAGCAGTAACAGAGGAAGCGAAGCTCTGGCTGTTAAGACAGATCTGGGACTTGACTTGGCCAAGTTTTATACTCAGTTCTGAAATGTAAATTGTGAAGATAAATGGCAAAAAAATCAGATATTACTGCTGTGCATCAGAGATGTGTCAGGTAAAGACTCCAAAGTAAACACTGTATAAAAACCGTAAGATTGCGTTAAAGACCCAATGCCATGAGCACGTGCATGTTACACACGTGTGCCGTGTCAGCATGCTTCTGAATGCCTGTAGGAGGCAGAACATCCGTATGTAAGCATGTTTCAGAATGTGTCTTTACACAGGCACATGCATGGAGTTTCAGGAGTTTCTAAGTGAGTGCATTTATGTGACTGAGAGAAAAAGATCATGAACGGGCAAGCACGTGTGTGCTGAATGTCTATGTACATAGGTGTAGGTGTAAGCATACAGAGCACGTGTGAGACAGTAAAGTGTGCATGAGAGTGTGAGAGAGAGAGAGAGAGAGAGAGAGAGAGAGTGTGAGTGTGCGAGAGTGAATACATTTGTACGCGTGCCCATGCATGGATACTTGCAGAGAACGGCACACCCAGGAACAGAGATCTCTCGAGCCCACAATTTTATTCCATTTGTTAAAATGCAGTCCTGGTGCAATGCAAGAAAGCCCATCAGTCAGAGTGAGGTGTAAGGAAGTACAACATAAACACTGCAAGTCAAATCAAATTATAAAAGAGTGCATCACACGGCAGGTGCTGGCACATTTCCACAGATATATTTCCAAAGTTCTGTAAAAATATTTTTCCCAAGCTTACTGTAAACAAATAAGACGCAAAGAAATGCTGAGCGCCAAATGGTACCTGACATTCAATTTCAGACTGCATTTTAAAACAGACACCATAACTTTCCTTGGGCAAAGTGCATCCTTGCAGTATTGATGGCCCTCATCTCCTCCTGAATTCCTACCTGCTAAGGAGTACAGTTTATAAAGGTGAATGCCTAGATATTAGGATGCACTCCAATATTCTATAATCTAAAAATTCTTCAGTTTCTCTCCCAGGGGCAATAATCCAGGGCAGTGACAAATTGTGGGAACCAATTCGAAACAAATATTTTTGTTTCAGGGTGGAGGTGATGAGGAAGGAATGACAGAAATAACAGCAGCACGACAATAATTAGAGCACTACAACACTTCATCATGTGACACACAGTCACTAATTTCATTTTTAAAAACAAGTAACCATCAGACAGTTCCATCCCCTTTATGAAAGCCATGGGACTGGCTGCTAAGATTATCTGATTTTTCTGTCTCAAACATTAACACGATTTATCTATTTTTTTAAATAAAAGAAAGCTAAATATCAATTAGTAGAAAACTTGAAAATTTTCTTTAAAATCTTCTAATCCATGTTGTAATTTTCTTTTTGTTTAAAACAAGGACAACGTGTGAGTCTAAGGCAAATAAACCACTAGGGCTCATGAGTTCTCCGAATGCCAAAGGCATCAAAGGGCTTTGATTATAACTTTGGGATTTCTGGATAAGCCCCTTACTCGTGGACATTAAAAGTAGCTGGTACCCCACCCATTCTTTTAAACTTAAAAAAAATTTAACTAAAACTTAACTAAGCAGCTTCTTAGGGATTGTGGGGTTGAGATATTGTGAGTGAGACAGTGACTCAGAGAAAAACAGTGAGAGAGAGTGTGACAGAAAGTGGAGAAGGCAAGATGTGCATCTGAATGTCTGAGTGAGTAAAAGACAGAAAGAAAGAGACATGGTTATGTGAGCACAACATAGTGGTGGGGGCTGGGGCAGAAAAAAAACACAAAGGGTAGGGTGGATATTTGTGAGAGGGAGCAAGCAAGGGGAAAGGCAAAATCTGAATGTCTGAATGGTATGTTTATGTGCATTTCTCTAAATTAGAGAGACGAACGCAGTGATAGGTATGTTTGTGCACATGAGAGGCTAAAGGAAGATGTAGGTGATGTGAAAGAATCCAATACAGCACAAGCTGAAGTCACCCAATTCATGGATTTTTCATTTTCAGGCCCTGAGAAGCTCCAAAGAAGTTTGTTAATCACACTGAAGGAACAAACAACACAGGTACCTCACTCCCTATTGCTTAGAAATGTCTAACCTCAAAGTAACTTACTCATTCAAATCTCAACCATTCTCCAACTGCCTAAATAACCCACCTTTCATTCCACTTCATACAATGTGCTGTAATCTTTGAAATAAACAGAATTCCACAACATTCCAATTTAAGCTAAACCTTTTAAAGTCTTCCTACAAAGAAACAATGTCTGCACTGACAATGATACTCATTATGCTTAAAGAAGCTTTTAAAAGATTATTAGAAGTATTTTGTTTTAAATGGAAGTGGTATCCTCTTATGAGAGATTCCGAACGAAGAGTGGAGAAGTCCACAGCAAGCACAGAAATGTTACATCTTCTACGATTCACTGTTTAGAGGCAATCTAAGTGAAGAATTTTGACACAAGCTAATGTTCTTGTGTACATATAAGCACATGCGACCATTCAACCATTACTCTTCCTTGGACAGTCCAAACATCAAACCAGGGCTGGTCTGTTTTACTCTATTAAACCACATCAGCCACATCCTCCACCCAGGCCCCCCAATAAATGCGAGCTATTCATCAAATCTAACTTGTCACAAGCAGCATTTGATCATATGGTCTAAATGCAGATCTCTAGTCTAGCACCGTAATCATCACTCCATAGCACAAAAGACCTAGACAGAGAAGCCTGGAGATTTAAAACCCGACTTGAAAAAAAAACAGAAAGGCAACGATTCAGCCTCAGGCCTAAATTCCATTTATATATAACTTTTTTGCTGTTGGCTGCAGTTAAGTTCTCACTCCAGGTTGGACAAAGCTTTCTCTAGGTGAAGGGTCAGGGAAAGAGGCTGGAGTTGAAATCCCAGTTCATATTTTTAGCCAGCACAATGTCAACCCTTCCTTTTATATTCTGGGCACAACTCGTGGATTCTTCTTCCCTTCTATAAAATTAGACCCCAAATGGCAGTGAGCGAGAGTTAGCATTGGCAAATATATTTTTTAAAAAAAACTCAGATATCTAACATTCTATTAACCATTAAAAGCACCAAGTGTCACACATCACCACTGACTGACTTAGAACACTCATTTCCTTAAATTCACTCCACACGGTGAACAGCTACAGTGATCTCTTTTGGAAGAGTTACACTCAAAAACGTGTACGTATCCCAGGAGCCCTCTCTGCTGTGACAGCAATGAAATGATATTTAAAAACAGTAAGCTCTGAAAATGCTTAAAATAAAAACAAACCAAGGGCCAACTGTACCTCCTCCTAACTATTTATAGAGTATGCCTGTATGCATACATATATATATATAGATATATATATATGTGTGTGTGTGTAGTGAGATAATTCTCTTGATGCATGCTTTATACAGTGTAGGTAGTAGCATTGGAAAGCAAATTGCAAAATAAGACAGGTACTGTTTCCTTTTCCCTGCGCGTTAGTAGAATCTGTCTAGCAATCTGGAAAGTAGGAGCTTCTGGTCAACCAATGAAGGTTTAAGGCAAAATGCTACATGTACCTGGAGAGATGCAGTGAGAGAGAGTGGATCTATGACTGCGACCATACCCACTTATTAATCCATAATTAGGAACAAAAACAAAGCAATTATCTGTACACAGAGTGGTACCAGACACATTACCTCCTGCAAGATTCTCCTGCTTCGGGCAAATTCCTTTCGTAGGCGTTAGCAGCCGGTCGTCCTCCTCGGGCGTGACTTGGATGCCGATCTCGACGGGCTCAGACACTCTCCTGGGCTCCGGGTGTGGGGGAGAGGGGCTAGATTTATCCACTGGCTTCTCGAAGCAGATGGCCGCACCGTTGCACCGCTTCCTCTTGTGCTCGATAAAGACGAGGATGTCAGCCAGCGGGAAGTGCGCCTGGCACTGCCCGCAGGTCAGCAGGTCATGGTCTCCAGTGCCAACACCGCTGCCCGGCCCAGCCATGACCGCGTCCTCTTCGTCCGTGCTCGCCGTCTCCACATGGTCAGCCTCTGCTTTGCGCAGGAACACAGAGAGACAGGGAGGGAAGAGAGAAAAAGAGAAACAAAAAAGAAAGGAGAGCCTGCTTTTAGCTAGGAATTCATTGTATAACACGATCCCCATTTATAAGTTTGCATACAATTTTAAAGACTGCATGGATACAAGCTCCAGACTTTTATCGGCCAAAAACCCCTTCCCCTCATGTAAACAGAACTTTTTTTTGGTTTGCAATCATGAAAATGAAGCAGTGATATTATAGAAATAGCCCAAATTTAGGGCTAGAAATGTATTTTTTTTCATTTTGTTGAATATGGAAAATTGCACCTTACACACAATAGTCAGTGGAACAAGACAGAGGGGAGATATTCAGACTCTACCTGAAAAATGCTAAATAAATTATCTTTTCTAACACAAAGACCCTGGATTATCATAAATCTAGATAAATTTTACAGTGATACCCTGCCCTATTCAGATTAATTTCACATCTACTGATATCTTGACTTGGGGGTTTATTCTCATTGTGTCAAATATGGGAGTCAATCACAAGACCCAAGGTTGACTATTCTTTTCACACGTGAGGGGGCACATTAGTCGAATCTCTTCCCAACTCCTCCCCACCTAAAACCTGCATTACAAGTCTGCGAGAATTACTGACAGCTAACACACAGTTGTACGCTGAGCGAGAAAGGTAGTGGAGTAATCAGTGAGAATAATTTTCCCTCCCTTGTTCCTTCCCAACCGAAACAAAAAAAAACTTAGTGCAAAGAAGTGCATTTTTATTACGAAAACGTCACAACTCGTGGTTTGTAGGGCCCTTTGTCAAGCTGATGGTAACGCTGTCATGGAGCTATTTTTAAAACATTCACCCATTTTATTTTTGCGTCCATGTAAAGAAACCGGACGAGTCACTTCATCAAGTTGTGCGGCTGTGGAGGAACATCACATTGAAAATTTTGTATACAGTTTTCTACATTTATAGGTACAATTAGCAAATGTGAATAACAAAGAGGTAGAAGGGGAAAGAGAGAGAAAGAGATTGGGAAGACAAAGCATGAATAGGAATGTTCTGATTCATCTGCCTCCTCTCAGCTCCCCAGCTATTGTACCGACAAGCACGTAACATTTTACTGCTCTCCAAAGACAGTCGCTCAAAGTTTAACAACTTGCTCTGTCACAGGATTACAAGAAGCCTCATTATTTCAGTAATACAATCTTTTTTTGCATTATTTGAAAACCCTTAACAGGTTCTCAAGGAATATTAATCAGCAGCAAAACTGATCCCAACAAACTAGAGTGTACGAATAGACGTGCAAGGACAGAACAACCTTATTTATTTTCTAAAAACAAAACCCTACAAAAATACAAGTCAAAATGAGCAGCAAATAATTTTCATATACAACAGCAGACAATGCAATTGTGACATAACACTAACTCTCCAAGCAACCAAAAAAATCTGCATCTGATGTACAAAATAAAATCTGCAATATTTAATATATGAAGACTCAGAAAAGGCAAATAGACTTGCAGTGATTGCTCCATCATTAATCAATTCCCACATCTGCTGTCACTTTAGCAAGAAAATGATGATATTCATCTAACCTACTCATTGACGTGTGTACAACTGCTGAAGTGTATCCCCTCTGCTTTAATTTATTTCTAAATAACTTGCTTAAGGCACTTTTTGCTTTATTCCTGGGTTTTATGAGCTCAAAAACAATGAAGGAAGGGTACAAGCTCAAAAGCATCCCTCAAAGTCAAGTGCTCTGTTTCTCTCTCTCCTCTACGCACTAGTTTGGGCTTTGCTAGTTTAAAGGAACTCTGCAATAAAACAAACACAATCACATTTTGTCTAAAATGCCTGCTTCACAACATCGAACTGATAGTTTTCAAACTGATATATTTATTGCTTTCAAACACATCTCTCTCTCTCTCTCTCTCTCAGATTATCCACCTTTAGTTAAAAAACAAAGCACATCACTACAGTAGCCTAAATATTTTTCGAAGGTATGGCAAATATACTTTTCTCCCCAGTCACAAAAAGACAAAAGCAACACACTTTTGAGATTAAAAAAAGGGATGCACACTTTACATTTTCATTACGTGATGCTGTGCAACATTTCAATTAATTCAAATAAGGCCAATATCAAAATATTGCTTTTGGATGTTTCGTGTTATTATTTTAACTACAATCTCCCTCCCTCCCATCTGCGAAATGGTCTAAGTTCCTCTGAAGACCAACGCAGCATTTGGGTTTCACCAAACTGATTCTGATTGTGCTGTACCAGAAGTTGACGCACAGAGAGATACTGGAAATGGAGCAAAGATATAACATATTTTTCGTCAAAAATAATGAGATTACAGCACACTGAAGGAAATGCAACAGTGGAAAGATATGACATATTCTTCCTCAAGAAAAAATGAGATTATACCGCACTGAAAGAAATGCAACGGTGGAATGCTGCAGTAAATGCTTTATACTTAGGAGGGTTGTGTGTATTATGTATGCCTGACAGTAATACAGGTAAATGGGACTGCTGCTGGCTACTAGAACAGGTTTCCTGGTTCTCGAGGCATTATGAGTTGACTTTGAGCGCCCCCTTGCGGCGGCCGCACATTACTGCCGCTCAGCAGCGCGGGACCCACGCGCTTTAAGTTGGAAACCTGGACAAAGTTTATTACAATTAATAACTACCTAAATCTGACTCATTACCGTCAATGCGTTTGCGAAGGTTTTTCTCCTTTTTTTTAAATTAACAAAAAATGTTCCTTTTGCACAGCGTGCTTCATGCGCAACACGCTCTGACTTTCAGTGCAAAGCAACCACGATCGGCTGCAATGGGAATTTCAAGCACACACTCTCTGCCCCGACCCCACCCCCCTCCTTTCCTTTCATCAACCCTTTATTCAAACACAAAGGCAGCCAAAAGGAGTCTAACTCAGACCCTGCACAAGCCCAAGTTCAATGTCTAACCCTCCTCCGTCTCTGCAGCCGCTCAATAACCTGCCCACAGCCAGATAGATCCCTTGTAGCACTGCACTTCAACATTGCAGAAATTTCGATAGCAAAGTCTAAACACATGCAAAACAAAACGCACATATTGCATATGAAATTCTTTTAGCTCTCTCACTCTATACAGCCTCACCCCCCGACCCCCAAAACACACACACACACAATCACACAAACATACAGATATGCATCGACTACCCAGCGACTGTTAGGGAGGCGATTTATACAATGTGGAAATTGGTGGATGGCAAATTGCGCGGATCGCGTGAAAAAGTGGCATTAAAAAGCGTCCAGTACCGTCTGCACCGTACGGTGCAAAAAGAAAAAGGAGAGAAAGGGGGGGTTGGAATTGCATCGGGCGTGTGGTATTCATTCTCTGTGACTGTATGAAAGGTATGGAGGAGAGCGCGAATTTCCTCATCCTATTCCCGCACCGGGATAGACAGACAGACGAGGGTTGGCCGGGGTTTTTTTTGTGGGGGGGGGGGGGGGAGGTGAGAAGCGTGAGTATAGAATGAAAGAAAATAACCTACTCAGAAATGCGCATTAAAATAAATGCAACCGAGAAAGAATATGTGTGGCGAGAGGTATTCCGATTTACCGTCAGTTAATTTAATTTTTTTAAAATGCATGCAATGGGTTGGGACAGAATTGTTTTCAGAATGAAACTAAATCGTTACACTTTTCTTTTAATCTCTTCCACACCCGCTCTCCCCAACACTATTAGGCTGTCAAAGAATAAAGAACGGCAAAATGTCTCACATGCATTTACCTTTTCAGCGAGTTACAGGATCTCTCAAACCAAAAAGTGCGCTTTAAACCCCCATAAATACAGCAACGTGCATCTTGTCTGACATGCAGACACGTTTTAAATGATAAAACAAAAGGGTCGGATTTATTCCCCACACATATATACCATTTTTAATAAATCGCAACATTCTGCATTTCTGCTTAAAATGTTCCTTTTTCAAACAAAAAATGCCCAATATCTCAATGCAGGCGCTCGTCTCCAGGAGCCCCAGCCGAATTAAAAATGCATTTACCTTTTTTTTTTGCAAGAAAAATGGAACCGATCTCCATCGAAAAAGAAAATGATATTCCGACCTTTGCACGGACACACGCGACGCAACAACCGGAGAAAAAATAACATTATTTCTTCACACACAAGAGAAAACACACACACCTTATTGCAAAGATCCCACTGCAAATTTATTAATTTGCAAGAGAAACTGTGTGTGTGTGTGAGAGAGAGAGAGAGGGGGAAGGGGGCGGAATGCAAAATGAAATCCCCGAGAATTTCAGACAAAAACAAAAATGCTGCCCAACTCGAAATATATATGTATATATTTATATATATAGAATTTTTTTTAAGAAAAAGCAAAGCAGCGACGGAGACCTGATTTGCAAAGAAAAAGAGACGGGGGGCTTTTATTTTCCTAACCTCGCAAGCAGCGGAGTGCATTTATTGCTCCTCTTTATTTCAGGGAAGGTCGGGAGGAGGAGGGGGAGAGAGAGAGAGGGAGCGGGTGGGGGGGGCAAAAAAAGAATATATTTATTTAAATTTTTAGCAGAAATAAGGGACATAAATATTCCGACTTTCTCCTTATTTGGCCACGTTTAGAACGTTGCGATCCGCCGCCTCGCGCTGGGCAGCTCCGCTCCACGCGCCACTCGCAACTTTTCAAACACTCTCCCGATTTTACACACACACACATACATACACAAAATTCGCCCCAAACACCCAAAAACATGCAAGAACAAACACCCGTGCAATCATCAATGCAAAGAAAGAACTCCAATGCGCTATTGCACAAACTTTTTTTTTTAAAACCTCTCTTCTTTTCATCCCCTTTCTTTCCCCAGCTCCTCTCCTCACCCCCCCACACCAACCAGACGCATAGACACACACAAACGGTACAAGTAAGTAAGTAAGTAAGTGGTTGCAGGGAAGGAGGTGGTGGTGGTGGTGGTGGTGGTGGTAGGAGGAGGGGGGGCGTCCGGCAAGTCAAACAAAAATTAAATTACGCGCAAAAAAAATGTTTGCAAAGGGAAAAAAAAGCCCGAGAGATCTTCCAAGCAAAGAGCGTAAAAATCTTTTATTTTGCAACTTTCCCCGGTATTTAAAAAAAATGTTTACAAAAAATCCAAGCGATGTCCCCTCGTTGCAAAACAAAATGCAAAACTGTACAACGCAGGGGAAGGAGGGCTTTTCAAAATTTATTTTTCCTCCTTTTTCTCTGGGAGGGGTAAAAATATAAATCAAACTAGCGAGCGAATTTCCACAGACCGATCTTCAATCCAACAAGAAATAAAGAAAGCAGAGAGATCTGGAAGAAAAAAAGAAATAACTCCGCCAGAATTTTTTTAAAAGTCTCAGTGTTTTTGTTGTCATTCCTCCTGTGCAATCCACCTCAAACATTAGTTTAAAAAAGAGTGGAAGGGGAGGGAAAAAAAAATAGAGAGAGAAAAACAAACACACACACGCGCAAATACAGCCCGAGATATTAAAACAATTTATAGTGGGTTAGGAAATTTGTTCTTTTTAAAAAAAAAAGAAAATTCTGAGGGGAATAAAAAGAAGAGGGCTGTTTTATTTATTATAACCATCATTATTATAATAATTGTTATCATTTTGTCTCTCTCTGAATGGTTACTTACGCGAAAATTCCCTTTTACTTAAATGCTGAGGGTTGCCTTGCTTGCGGCGAGACATAGTCGGTCACATCTGGAGCGGAAAGCCGGAGACTCCAGAGAAAAATATCTTCATCAGAGCCCCTGACAGAAAATAAATTGGAAATAATGCAAAGATGGCGGATGGAGATGGATTGTGGGACGGCCGTCAGTGTGAGAGAGAGAGAGAGAGAGGGAGGGAGGGAGAGAGAGGGGGGCAGAGAGCTGCTAGTGTACACACATAGACACACACACATATACACATGAGACAGACAGACAGACAGACAGAGACTGTGACAGCGGCACTCACTCACTCACTCACTCACTCACACACACACACACACACTCTCTCTCTCTCTCACACACACACAGAATCACACACACACACTGTCAAGTTCAAGTGCGGACGTGACGCGCCCGCGAACTTGAACGTCAAAGCCCCGATGTTGAATTAGCCGCCAGCTCAATGGGGGCTACTACTGGCAAAGGCATCACATTGTCGAGAGAGGGAGGGAGTTAAAAAAGAAGGCTTCCTCGTTTCGCCCACTTTCCCAGGCAGATCCGAGACTCTTGGTTGTGTGTCTTACTCTCTCACACACGCCTCCTGACACACCTCCTCTCCTCTCCTCACACACACCTCTCCTCTCACACACCTCTTCTCTCCTCACACACACATCTCCTCTCCTCTCTCACACCTCTCACACACCTCTCCTCTCTCACACCTCTCCTCTCCTCACACACACATCTCTCCTCTCACACACCTCTCCTCTCCTCTCTCACACACCTCTCCTCCTCTCCTCACACACACCTCCTCTCCTCTCCTCACACACACCTCACTTCTACTCTCCTCACACACACCTCTCCTCTCCTCACACACACCTCTACTCTCCTCACACAACTCCTCTCCTCACACACACCTCTCCTCTCTCACACACACCTCCCCTCTCACACACACCTCCCCTCTCACACAAACCTCCCTTCTCACACACACCTCCCCTCTCACACAGCTCTCCTCATACACAGCTCTCCTCATGCACGCCTCTCCTCATGCACGCCTCTCCTCACACACACCTCTCCTCACACACACAAACCTCAACTCACACAGA